TTTCAGTCCAAGGTGCATCACTGATTTATAAACGGGGTGTTTCTCCCTGGGATATTCTGAAATCATTGTGGACAGTGAGAGTGGTGGTGTTGCAAGAAAATGGAGCGTGAGAAGATGGCCGTGTCCCAGGTCTCAGGCGAGTCCCTGGGACATGCCCCATCAAGTGAGGCTCCTTGGCTTCATGCAGGAAAGAATTCAAGAGAGAGCCATAGTAGAGTGAAAGTAGATTTATTAAGTGAGTGCATAGACAGAGGGTGGCCAGAGAGGCCACAAGGAGTGGAGGTGTTCAGTTTAAAGTAAAAGTAGATACACACTCTATACAGCACAGGCCATCTTCAAAGACGAGAGAGAGGGAGCGAATCAGAGACAGCGACAGAGAGCAAGTGCCAGGGCAGGCGAGAAGTGGCCCCAGAGCATGGTGTTGTCTAGGAAATTGAGGTCGGCCACAAGATGTGGGGAGGTGTAGATCCAGGAATTGGGCCATCGCCCAATTTTTGATCTTAGCAAGTGGGAGGATTATTCCAGCTACTTTGGGGAAGGGCCCAGGAATTGGGCCACTGACCAATTTTTGACCTTTTATGTTTAGACTCAGAACTGTCATGGCACCTATGGGAGTGCTGTTTAGCATGCTAATACATTTCAGTGAGCATATAATGAAGCTAAAGTTCTACTAAAAGTTGAATCTTTCGCCATTTGGGCCTCAAGGTCCACTGAGAGTTGAATGTTCTGCCATCTTGAGCCTAACCAGGTTTTAATCAGCTTTTGTCCTGTCCTAAGTTGCTGTGTCATTCCTTTACGGATTGCGTCCTGCCCCCTTCCCTCCTCTCTCAGTGATGATTCTTGTTTAACAACCTCATTTTTTTAATCCTTCAACTGTTGTTCAAGAATGCACTGTTCATAAAAGAAAGTCTGGGGAAAGCAAAGAGAACTTCAGTAAGAATTATTGAAAGACTTTAAATAGCTTTTATTATAAATTTAAGTTTTAAAAATTCTCGTATACTACAGCACTAATCCTCAGGATATGTCATTAGCTGGGAAGAAAGCACAATTGATTCACTGAAGCAATACAGGTTAGTAAGGCTGATTCTTTTAAATATAAATACAAAGTTTCCTCGGAGTACTAAATTTTTCAAGAGTTTTTGACATTGGATAAAACCCATAGATAAACATTTTATATAATTTCTTTTGGATTCTCTGTGGATTATTAAATGCCATAGTTATAGCATGTTTTATTAAATCACATCCAAAATATTTATTACTTTACAATAGACCATCTGTTAGTTTTCTATATTACATGAAAAGTTACCATTGTTACCCAAAAACTGGGTTCATCTCTTGTTGGGTGTTGAGGCAAAAGACACAACCAAGCCAAAGAGCAGGAGAAAAAGGATTTACTACTTGCTGCAAGTGAGGAGAACACTAGAGGTCTTTCCCAAAGCAGTGTCTCCTTGAAGAGCCAAATTACGGAAGTTTTAAGCTAAAGAAACAATGCATATTCATGAAGGGGCTTGAGCAGAAGAGAATTTAGTATAGAACTGGGGCAAAGGTTGCCAGAATCCAACCTTTAGTTGAATGAAGTCATGAGGGTCCGGAATGGTGAACATCATGATTCCTTAGGTTCAGACCAGTCTGGGGTCTTAGCAAGTAGTTACCATCCTCCAGCTGGGTAGGGGTCTTAAGTCCTGCAGAACTCAATGTCTGATTGTTATATGTGTATATCCCTTGAGGAGGAACTAGGACTATATTTATTGTTGAACTATTATTTCTTGACTGCTTTTTTCTTTTTTCCTGCATTCCCTCACTTCCCTTATGATCATTCATTACTGTTCAAGGGCAAGCACTGTGGCCAGGCTTAGATTATAAAATGGCTTAGGCCAAAAATGACTTCTCTTTTTTTTCTTTCATTTTTGAAATGGGGAGGTA